GGGAGGACAGCATGAGAACAGGAAACAAAAAAAACTCCTCTGCACAGAGAGCACATTAATGTCCACATCACAACATTAGAGCACATGACAAGCCACAGGGGTTGGATAGGGGGGTGGGGGGTAATCCGAAGGAACACAGCAGTCGTCCTACACAGCGCTACCATTTCAGCGCGGCACGCAGACCCGCCGTCTTCCCCCACAGGAAACAAGCATCGAAGGCATTTGGAAAGGGAGGGGGATGAGTGCGTGCTTATCAGTGTAAGTGTATGTGTGTGCGTGTCCAGAGTTCAGCTGAGACAGTGTCCTTCGCTGAAATGTAATGATGACCATAAAAGTGTTTTAGGGAAATACATGCATATTTATATAAGAAGATGTAAATGCTGTTGGATAAATGAATAAATAAAAAAACCAAAAAAATAAGAAACGGTATCTACCTTGGGTCTATTAATCAATAGATCTCATCAGAAAACCCACTGGTCTCCTACCTGCTAAAGAAGCTGCTTTGATTGGTGGTTCTTTCATCATATTTCTATAAAAACATGAGAAGATGATTTTACCAGAAGAAACAGTGAACACAGTCATGTCTCACATCATATGATTTCATGTATGCAAAAGGTTTAGTGCTTGGACCACATACACCCAAAACCTTGTTCAAATGTGATCACACTTCCGGCGCCCCCCGTGTGCGGCAGCCTGTTACAGCAGCTCTGCTCATTCTGAGTTTCTTTCTTTATTATCTTTTTCTTCTCGTAATTTTTTATAACTAACATATCAGTAATTAGACTCTGCAACCATGTTCTACCGTTTTGTGCTAGTTCTGGTCATTTTTCTTAGTTTATTTCTACTTTTTTCATGCGTGTCTGGGGACCCAGAGCAGGGATCCTTTGTTTACAGTAAGGATCAGCTGTTAGCGCTGCGTCCCGCAGCGGTACTGCCGGCGGACAGACCCGACATTCCCAGCGAGCTGAGGAGGAAAAGACGGGGGTGTCGTGCTGGGAAGGAGCGCCGTCGCCCGAAAAGGAGACGTTATCGACCATCTCTTCCTTCTGTAATGATTGGAAACGTAAGATATTTGCCCAATAAGATGGATGAGCTCACGTCGCTAACCTGGTCACAGAGGGAGTACCGGCAATGTAGCATCATGATGCTAACGGAGTCGTGGCTAACACCGCTAACTCCGGACAC